AAGAGAATATAAAAAAATTTAATTATACACCATTTCAAAATTATTATTATACTTTTTTGTATGATTAGCTTATAATATTTGTAAAAATATTAGTAATTAGACCGATGAAAATTAGCTTCTTAAAGTAGTTAATGGATTTTTAGTAGTAATTATGAATTGGTTTCTATTTTATTGTATTTTTTTTCTTTTTAAAGGTAATGGATTTCTAATAGTAATTATGAATTGGTTTCTATTTTATTTTATTTTTTTCAAATCTGTATAGATAAGGGATGAGATTTTTTAAACACGTGAGACGTATGCAATGAGATTTTGTAACAACAAAAGAGATAAGCTCGTTTAGATTTATACTAAAAATAGAAAAAAGAAAAACAAATATTTATTATCAAACAACGGTTTTGATAAACTAAAGAATAAGTAAAAGAGAGACAAAAATTTACACAATTAATGAGCCAATTTATTTGTCTATTCAGATTTGTCCAACAATTACTATATATAGGATATATTTAATGATTTTGGCGGGAAAATGTTTCTAAATTTGTAAAAAAGTTATTCTTTTTATATAATGATAGATATAACTTATTGTTAGATATATAGATGGTTTTACCCGCGAATTGTAGTTCTATCAAATTTCGTTTTCTAACTCATTTTCTTGTCCAAAATAATTATTTGAGTTGTTCTATGTTTGTTCGAGTTTCCATGTTGTTCGGTGCTCCTTTTAAGCTGTAATCCACCATTATATTCTTCTTGTCGAGATTGTCGTATACACAAAATTTTGGCAAAATTGGATTTAACTTAATCACTCAATTTTCTGTTCAGAATTACATACACAAACTCAATTTTTAGCGTGCGTAATAAATTTAAATAATTCAGTCTTTATTCTGCCCCTCCTAATTAATATTTTTTGTTGTTGATAAATTTAATATATTGAGTTTGATGTTTGATAGTGTAACTTATTGTTTGGAAGTAAGCCAATATAAAGGACCAAAAAATAATTTTTTATCTATAGCAAACGAACTGTTTTAAATGGAATCATAATATTTGCAATTGAAGTACTTTAGATCTTATGTTAAGTTGTCTAATGTTAAACAACCATACATTTGCAACAATTATACATACTTTACTACTCAAATATCATATTTTAAAATATAATATAAATAAAAGTATGACATTCACAGTATAAACATGTACTCTATCTAAAAAAGTATAATAATATAACTGTTTGACAACCTAACAACAACTTTTGTGAATGAAACCCAAACATAAGCTTGAGTTGTGTCTATTATTAGTGTGTATACTTAAAGTTTGACTTTTGCATAATAAACACTATCTTTCTTTTGAATGAGAATTATGTTTAATTAAAATGTCTTACGTTCTACATTTGGGTATTTTGGTTCATCACTGATGGAAAGAAGATCACGTACTTGTTACTTGTAAAACATAAATAATAAAGTTCACAATCTAGATGGAAATGAACGGCCCATCGTGAACGGTTGTAGTGTCAATTGTACTGTCTGTCATAACTGATTGGTTGACTAGTACACATTGTATATTGAACGGATCTCAGAAAGGATAAGTCTGTTTTGTACTCATCGAGTAAGCAAACTACATCGATTATTTACTGCTTACTCTTAACTCGTAAGATATAAGCAGACACGTGAATACGGTAGCTACTACTTTGATTCACCAAAAAGTTAGATCCCTTATATTGGGTTAATAATCTAATATGTGTTTTGAATAGTGATTCAGCGTGTATAGTGTGTTCTTCAAATATTATGGTCACCGTGTGTGGTAGTCTGATGATGTCCCCAAGAAGAGCTCAAGAAGGATTAATATTATGTTAAACCCTACATGTGGATTAAGTTCCGACATACTAATAAAGAATTGAGTGGTATATACTAGTCTCGGCACAATAATTCAATTAATTATATTATTAGTAATTAATTTAGTAGACGGACATTATATCTTAAACATGAGGAGATAAATCGAGTGACTATTATCGGAGCCTCAAATGTAATTTAAGGTCAAATGAGAAATATTTCTCTAGTGGATTGGAATATCGTTCAAGTATGAGTACAGTGGGCTTGCCCACAGTTAGGCCTATACTTTGAAAGCCCATATTTGGCACCTCATCAGGCTTCACGTTGTAGTCTATAAATACAAATCTTCTCTTGGGATTATGACACACCACACGATAAAAGCCTAGGAATCCCAATCGAGAACTCTTTGTTTCATCGTCCACCAAGACGAGCGAGTGTAAGGTCATATAACAGAAGTCTCAAGGTCACCCGAGGGAACCCGAAGACCAAAGTTGTACGTGGTGCACCACTGCACAACCCCCGAGCCTCTGCCCCCTGATCCACTGCGACGCAACCGTATGGTGTTTCCTGATGCAGCCGCATGCCCGACTGAAATCGAGCATGACCCACACCAGCCACAGCCGTGCACTGCAGCTAGGAAACACGCGTGCAAGCCCACCGCACGTGAGACACCGAGAAATCATAGTGCAGCAGCCCCGACGATGTCGTGCAGCCACGCACACCGTCCAACGCGAGCGATTCCCAGAGACGATCGACAAAGGGACACACGACCAATCAAGGAGGACGAGATGAGAAAATTTTCTCAAAATTGTTCGTCTGTGCCCGTAGGCCGTGTAGGTCAAAACAGAGCCTACAAATTTTAAGTTGTAAATGTTCAAACTCTACTTTTGTTTGCTGCATTTTAAGCTTAGTTATCGTAGGCTAGATCTGTGACTTGCACGATTAGACATTCCTTATAGAACCACAAAATTGGTATGAAAGCACGTGGTTTAATTCTGTTACATCTTCTTTGCTCACAAAAAAATTGAATACCTTATGCCTCGAACGGTCCTCTTCCTTGAGCTCCGATGACCTGCAATATGCCGGGAAGGGGTCAAGGCGTAAAACTCTCCAACGGTCAAGTCAGAAGTCGCTCAAACTGTATACTTAAGAATATATGAATAAAGGTGCAGAATGCATGTGTGTGTTAGTGATTAAAGACAAAATGTCATCTTTATATAGGACTTAATTCCTTAAGGCCAAATAAAGTTCTTGTTAGGGAAGAGATCCCACCAGATTCTACTTCCCTAACTTACCATGTATCTATCTTGGTAAGAATCCTTAAGCGAGCGATTCATTCATTCTTACTTGGATTGTTCTTTCTTTTTACTGTTTTCGCCCATGGACCCTTAGGTCGTGAATCCGACCTCCTGAACTATCTGTCATGCTTTCTCGAGGGCATACCTGACCTTGTCCTGAGGTCTAGACCGACCTCGTCTTTAGGTCTATTTTGTCCTCAGACCACCCGACCACAATACCTCGAGGTCAGTTACTTTGTCGGGTTCCTGGAGACCGATACCTCTAGGTTGTGTCTGTTCTGATAGCTCGGTACCTTACGCCTATATCTGAGCTAACTGACTAAGCATCTTACTTCTGGGTACGTGGGAGCTCTTCCAATTCGGCTTTAGCCGAGCTACTTGCTCTGACCATTCTGTCCAGCTTATTTCTNATATATAGACTAATACGATACCCGTGTACTACATGAGGACTTAAATATATTATTTTTTTACAGTAAAATAAACTAAAGTAAGTTATATTATTATTGTGAAATTATATACAATGAATATGAAACAATAATAAATAACAAAAAAAAAATGTGATAATTAATTCAAAAAGACACCTATATTTTTATATTAAATTTGTCAAAAATGTTATTTTATAATTATATTTTAAAATTATATGTGTCTAAAACAATTAATAGCACACTCCATAGATTTGATTCGAACTTTTTCAAAACAAAACAAGTTTTAGTGTATTATGATTATATTTTATATTATAGAGTCGATGTCTCTCGTTTATTAATTTTTAAGTATTTTAAATTCATAACATTTAATAATTTAGAATATTAGTTTTATTAGTTTACGCAAAAAATATTGTCTTCTAACTTTATGAAATATAAAATTATTTTATTATTTTTGATGATGTTACTCCTTTATATTTATTATTTTAAACAACATAATAACATTTAGTTTTTCTTATAATCTATTTAAATCGAGAAATAATATTTTATAATATTTCTTAAAGTTTATTTTAAAATAGCTAATTTCCACATTTTATTCAAAATTTATGGAAAATAACACATGAAAATAATTATTTTATGTGTATAAATGAATTAGACTTTTATTATTTTTATAATATTATTTATGTTGTTATTTGATAAATAGAAATTAATCTGATAATAAAATTGGTTTTCTTTATTAAGATATATGAAATTATTTTTTATTTTATTTTCTTATAATAAAATTGGTTTTCTTTATCAAATCGAAAATCGTTAAAATATGATTATTTAGATATATCATATGTAAAAAATAAATACAAATAAAACAGTTTTAAAGTTTTAAAAATAAAAGAATACAAATTTATAATAATTAATATATAAATTAAATAATAAAATGTAAGAGTAGTGAATGATAACTTAAGGTAAAAAAAAGGTAAAACAGTTTATGGTAATTTTCACATCTAATAGTCAAAATTGAACTTGTGCATGTGTCCATAGGATGCAAGAATCAATTTTGGTATGAAGTGAACAGTTAGCTCCATAGTGGTGCCAACATTCTTTATATAACAAGTAAATCATACCATATTCTTTAATTACTTAAATAAATACTAATAATTTTATTAATATGGTATAATTTACTTGTTGTATATAAAAGGTTGGCTCCACTATGAAGCCAACAGTTGATTTAATAGCAAAATTGATGCAAGAATTTATAACATATAAATTTACGAAACATACGAGTATAACATTTTATCTTGACGCATTCAAAAAATATATATAAAATCGTCTTTGAATTGAAAATTATATATAACGTCAACTCCGCGAAAAATATGATAATTCCTTGAGAAGCTGTTGAGCAAAGATAATAAAGGAAAAAGGGAAAATAGAAGGCACCCACTCAATAACAATTAAGAAGGCTGAAAGGCATGTCCGACAAAATTGAAGCCCCAGATCAGAAATCCCCAACCCAAGATCTTCCGCCCTCATCCACCGCCACCATGTCCGAAACCGAACAATCGCCGCCTCAATCCGTCACCACCACGGCCGCCGTCACCGAGAAACTCTCCAACGTCTCCTTCAGCATCTGGCCGCCGAGCGAACGTACCCGCGACGCCGTCAGGAGCCGCCTCATCGAGACCCTCTCCTCCCCCTCCATTCTCTCCAAGAGGTACGGCACCGTCCCCCAGGAGGAGGCCGCCGACGCCGCCAAGGTCATCGAGGAGGAGGCGTTCGAGGTGGCCGGGAAGACGGCGACCCCCGATGACGACGGGATCGAGATCCTGCAGCTCTACTCCAAGGAAATCAGCAAGCGGATGCTTGAAAGGGTGAAGGCCAGATCTGGCGAGCAGGAGGCTCCTGCAGCGCCAGCGGCGCCTCCGCCGTCGAAGGACGAGCCGAACAAGCCGGAGGAGGAGGACGCCGGGTCCACGGCTCCACCGAACAGTGAGAAAACCGAGTCTGTTGCGGATGACGAATGAGTAACTGAAAAACTATTGTTGTTTTTCCGTTATATAACATTTCTAATCTGGTTATTGGTATCTGTTTTCAGTGTTTTTTGTTCTGTTGAGATCTGCAATGATATTACTGTTATGCGGATTCATTAATGCTAATATTAGTTCAATTAAATCTTTTCATTTTGGTATCTTGAAGAAAATAGAAGCATGCCTTGCAGATTTATGCTTCAATTTCGGGTTATTGGATTTACATTTGCTGCATTAGTGTATAAGTCACTTTGTGTTGTGTGATTCAATGCTGGTTTGAAAGTTTGCTTTTCATCAATTACTTACATTTTGGTTAGCATATAGTTTTCTTTAGCTTAAGTATACTCTAGTGCATCTGTCATAGTTGGGTGGAGGGGCCTTATCTAGTGTGTGGTTGTTGGTTCAGTTGGGTGCAGTGCACCAAACTTATTGCAGGTAATTGGATTAATGTGATGTAGTTTTTTCTACCCAGTTCATTATCCAATGGTGTTGGCTTAGGGAGTATCCATTCAAGATGATTACCTGTAGTATATTAGTGTAGATGAATTTTAGAAATTGATTATTAGGAGTTGCGTTGGGTGAACTTGGCATTCGATGTTCATTAGATTAAGTATTGTCACATCTTAGGAAGCTTTGATATTGATGTGAAAAGAGGATGATTTTCAATCTCTCAAAATTTCGTAGTGGAATACCCTGAATCCCCCCCTTGAGTTGATCAGCAGAGAACTATTTTGTTCACTCAATGACTGCAAAAGAATTATGGTTGGAGAATTTGATACAAGTGCCAAGATATGTTATTTTTGCACAGATCTCCTGTTTAAAATATATTCTTTTGAAGTGGGTAATTTTTACAGTCAAGCTTCTAGGGGCATTTTGTATATTCCAGTCTTATATGAACTCCTCATAATAAATATAACACTCAGGCACTTCATCGTAAATTTTCCATTTAGTCATGGTGGTTTTGCCTTGGTCTGGGTTTCTGATAAGTAGTGCAATTTACTTGTTGTTTAATGCCAGATGACTGGATTATATGATAATCCACATTGTGGAGATCTGAACGTTATCTTTTCTGATAACTAATTGTTGAAATTTGTTTACGTCAATCATGGAACTTTAGGAGAAAGCAAAGTACATTGGGACCCTTGCTGATTTTGGTGGCAAGATTTGTTGCATGTTTTTCTTTTCTCTATATGACCGATCACCTCTCCGAGTACGCCTTGGTGAGTGATTCATAGGATCTTCCAAACCTCATGTTGATTGATCTTGGGAAAGAATAATGGAGACCGAATTGTCTTCGATGTTTTTGTCTAGATCTGTCCATTTTTATTCTCTCTTCCTCCCGATTTTACCGAAAATTATGAGATGAGAATTCTATTTTTTATAATTAAAAACCAGCTGCGAGGCTAAGAGTGACTTACTGTGTATTTATAGGCTACAACAAGACCCAAAAGAAGTGCTAAATAAGGACTCCCCAAATGCGAACGCAACTGTAAGCCTCTGTGTACCTACACTATTCACACTTGAATAATATTCTATTTCACTAAAAGAATTATTATTGAAATTCTAATTTAGCCGCAATTTATAGTTAATTCGTCTCCCGGTTTATTTGCTGGATTGACCTCCCAATATTTAAGATCTAACGTTAATTGATTAATTTAATTATTGACAATGTAATTAATCAACTTTTTTATCCGACATTAGTACAACTCAATTCAGTATTATTATGTCGAAATTCAATCTATCGGTCGGGTTTGACATAATAATCCTTCGAGCTCATTTCAGGGATGTCATCAACTCGGCGCACTGTAACACAGTGACCGTAAATAATTTGAACGACACATTATGTAATCGAAATTATTTTCTAATAAACTGAAGCTATCGATTTACAATAAATCACACTCTTTGGTAAATTAGATAAATAATAATAGAATACATATGCCCGTTTAGGGCGTGATTGTATATAATTTCTACAGTAAATATCCCACTCAAAACTCAAATTTAACTCAACTTTAACTCAACTCCACTATCTCTAATATTATCAATATAATTAAATAATATCAACTAATCATTATTACACACCACATCAAATTTAATTCACTATTCACACACTCACATAATTTTAACTAACCATCACTTCCAATCATTTTCTCTTACTTTTACATCAAATCAACTTTAATTATTTTAATTTAAATATTATTTTAATATATCCACTATCAACTAACCATACTACTTTTTTTTAAACTTAACTATAGTTAAGAAAAAACTAGTTTTTTACTAGTTGAATTCATATCCAATCACCCCCTTAGTTTTTTAGGGGTTAAGAGAACACAACAATAACTAAGATTTAGATTATTTATTTGGTCAGTGTAAAATAACTTTATCCTCCATTTAATAGATTGTAAATGTACTAGTGTAATTCATTCTTCAAAGATCAACTAATTCGAAAATAACTCTACAACCGTTCACGATTGTTAGTTCAATTCTGTCAAGGTTGTTAACTAATAATTTATATTTTATAAGGCACCGATAATATGATCTTTATGTTCAACACATCGAACTATATTATCTACAATATAAAATAAAGAAACCATGTTCTTATAAAAAGAACTACAAACATAAACTTGACTAAAACATGGATCTCATTCAAAATGGAATTGTTCGTAACACAAAGTTGAGTTTCTATAATATACGCCAACACCATCTATGTGCAACTAACCGATCTACTACCAAGCTATACAAGCTCTGGTGACTCGTATATGCAGACCCTGAATGTGTCTAAGTCAGCTGTCACCAATTATGTGCATGCTCTTATGCATTAAAGCCATATGAATATCTCTTTTTCAAGAGTGAATATACATAAAAAAAGAATCCGATTAGAGCATCCAAAACGTTTGGGTTCAATCACAAAAATTTAGATGCCACATAAGGAATAAAGTCAGTCTAAAAAAATATATTCTACAATGCAAATAAAAGTAGACTGGGTTCTGCTGATGTGGCAGCCAGAAAAAGAGACCTGGTCTACCCTTAAGTCTATTTTAGACTCAAATAGAGACCTAGTCTATTTGCATTGGACTGAATTTTGTTAATTTTACATAGTTTTATCCATGTCATTCAAGACTTGTGTTTATTTACATGCCACATAGGTAGAACTAGACCCAATGCATTGTAAATGCTCTTAGAGAACTTTTAATTGTCAACGTGAATCATGCCTTTAGGATCATATTAAAGAGCACAACCAAGGACTTCAAATCATAGTTTTTTTCAAAATGATAGAAAAAAAATTCAATAACATAAACAACCGGAACAAAGTTCAAATACAATTGGAAAAATCCGAAAACTAACGCAACCAGACAAACAAAGCAAAACTAAACTGAAAGGTTCACCTCAGCCGATGTCCTAGAGATAAACAGAAAACAACTAACGTAGAGAAAGGCAAAACTAAATTCGGCACCTGCGGCTACAATACCAACCTTAGACTACAGACTCTCTCCAGACATAACACAACTCCTAGCCACTATCTCAACGATCTAACTAGAAACTCTCATCTTCCAACATTACTTTCCCTCAACCGGTGCAAACTCTTTCTAATCTTTAATGTCTGCATTCACCAACTCTTGTTCTTTGAGCCTAACACCTTAAAACAACCAAAGGTTACAAAATTTTCAAAGCCAACACAAGATATACGTTGTGAGATGTATACGGGCTTCAGAAATTTCAGAATGGTTAATTGAACAAACCTGTCACCACTAATGTTTAAAGATGCAACCTTCTGTACTGATTCCATCCCAGCTGAGTGGTGCCAATTTCCAAACATTCCTAGATCTTTGACATTTTAAAAACAGATGGTACATGGTTTCTACCTCCTCACCACAACCATTGCAGTAGACATCAATCTCCAAGCCACTTTTTCTTACATTAATATTCACTAGTAGAATACCTAAAAAAACATCTCCATATAAAGTGTTTTAGCTTCCCTTTCTCATTCTCCAGCTCATGTTTCTTGCAAGTTTGTCTTGGATAGCCGAGACACTCCCTTCATAATCTCTGAATTTTGTCTTCAATGAAATGAGCATAAGATGCAGACACTGAAAATATACATTTCCTTTTTTTTCTTTTTTTCCTTTTTTTCCTCATCAGGGTTCAATGTGTTGATCTTTAGAATTGACACATTATCAGATTCATTAAAAACCTATTTCACAAGATTTTCATTTCATTGCCTACCACGTTCATCCATCAAATCCCTTACCCAATTTAAATTGTCTTTGGCCTGACCACAAAGTTTAGCTTTCTTTTGCAAAGGTTGAGAAACCCAGTTATAATCCAGAATCTTAGTTGATAGACCATTCCTAATCTCCACCCTCAACCCTTATTCAAAAAGAGGTTTCAGAACCATTCAACTATTATACAACCAAGATGAATTTTTCTTCTTTTGAGCCTAAAAAATGAAAGAGTTTGAAAAATACTTATTCTTCTGGATCGATCCTGCTTACCAGAAGGTCGGGTTGAGTAGTGATCCTTCATAATTACTTCATTATCAGTGCTTCATTGAATAGTTTGATGTCATGAAAGCCCAACCCACCCTTACACTTTGGTACTGTTAGATGTGGCCATGCTCTCCAATGAATCCCCTTACCCTTCTCATCCCATTTATTCCAGCAAAACTGGCCACAACTGCTTGATATTTTATTGCATAAACTCACAGGTAAGTTAAAATAGGGCATAACTAACACTGGAAGAGCTTTAAACGCAACCTTAATCAGAACTCCTTACCTGTTGTAGAGAGGAATTTGTTCTTCCAACTAAGAATTATGATTCTCACTACTATGAGAATGTAATCAAATGCTTCATTCTTTGATCTCCAATACCAAGAGGGGGCCCAAGATATCTGATAGAAGGGTGAACTTTAATGTCCTGAAGAATACCACAAATTCTCTTCTACACTTGGATAGGGGTTTTTCTACTAAAGAAAATAGAATACTTCTCCATATTTACCCTTTGGCCTGTAAAGGAGTTGTATATTCCCAACAGCTAAACTATCAAGAGGGCCTGTTGAACCTCAACTTTATGAAAAGCAAAGAATCATATGCAAAAGTTAAATATGAAATAGGATGTCCCTCTCTAGACAATTTCAAACCTTTAAAATCTTCCATTTCAGTTGCCGACTTTTTCAGAGAAGAAAACACATAAACAACAACAAGAAATAAGTAAGGAGATATTGGATCTCCCTGTCTCAAATCTCTTGTAGTAGAGACAAAACCACATGCTCTTCTATTTAGATTTAAGGAAAAAGATGTAGAAGAGATACAAGCCAAGATCCATTTTACAAAACCCGGGTGGAATCCCATTTTCAGCATGATCAATTTTATACAATGCTATTCAATTCTGTCATATGCTAACCAATTCCTTCCAGACGTATGCCTATTTAAGTAATGCGAAGCTTCATGTGCAATAATCACATTATCTAACTAGTGTCTTCCCAGTCAAAGCATAGTTGAGGAGGGAAAAAAGTTAACCAACAAATAAATATATACATGATGGTAGAGTTCTCACAAAAACAATTCTCGTGTGAGAACAAAAAATGATGTTATTTTTTATTGTGTATTATATTATTAATCATATGGTGTTATCATATACACAGGTGTTATTATATTTATAGTATTGTTTTTTTTTTTCTAAAAAATAATTCATAACTAAAAATAACAACAAACACAATAAATAATAGCATTACACACAATTAAAAATAGTGTTTCCTCGATTTCTCACATTAAGAGTTGCATGCTTGAACCATGACTAGTAATATTATTTCCTCACTGTTTAGGAGGTATGTTCCCCTCTGATACATGTAGCCCCGTCTGCGCTAACACCATAATTGACCCATCATCTCGAAATTCTTGGATAGATATATAACAACATAAAATGTTCAAAAGAAACTCATAGAACATCATTTTGAGAGTTTATATCTTCTGCATCAAAGTTGCGCCATAAGACGCGCAGCTTCATGCCTAACGATGCACACAACCTCCAAAGGCTTTACCTTTTGCAGGGCGAGTGGTCTGTACTTACCCTCCATCTCTTCACGCCCCACCTCTTTCTCCCACTCAAAACACTGCACAAGCAAACCCAACACCAACATTATCATCCTCATCCCCATGACCGACCCAGGGCAAGAACGTCTCCCCATCCCAAACGGCAAAAATTGACAACCTAACTCCTTTACGATCTCGCCATCCATGAACCGGTCTGGGTCGAACTTATCCGGGTGGTCCCACAGTTTAGGGTCCCTATGCATGGCCCATACGTTCACAAGCAAGGTTGTGCTCTTTGGCAAGTTGTACCCTCCCACCATGAAATCTTCGGACGAGTGGTGGGGTAAGAGGAGGGGTGCTGGCGGGTAAAGTCTTAAGGTTTCGTTGACCACGCTACAGAGATAAGGAAGCTTGGCGAGATCCGATTCGTTTAGCAAACGGTCGTGTCCGATCTTATTGTCTATTTCTCGTTTGAGTTTGAGAAATGGGCCCGAGTTTGTTAGCAGGAGTGACATTGCCCATTGAATTGTTGTGGCAGAGGTCTCTGTTCCAGCTATGAACATCATCTGTGACCACAAAGGCATGAGTGTCATGTCAATAAGAGGAGTAATA